ACAGTGAATGGAGACTACTGAAAGTCCCATTTGTTTTTCTCCAGTAAATTAAGAACCTGTAAATTATAATTTTGGTGGTTGTTGAGAATACTGTAATCCCAACTAACTCCATAAAAATGCAGGAGACTCTCTAGATATCCAATTATAATATTTACATATAATTAGTCTGTTGAGGAGTATCATCTTGTAGCAACACAAAATGGTTTTATTTTTCCCACTCTTTACTTTCAACTGTATTGGGTTGAATTCTATTTTCCTGCTGGGAAGCAAGTTCCTTAGCAACATCTAATTTCCTGTCATTTTCAATTATCAGTAATGTCTCGTTTGGGTATTTAAGACCTGGTCTTGTTCATTTAAAACATATTAATCTCAAACTTGATTCAAAGTATATCCTCCCTCTCCTGCAGTTATTTGGAGTGAATGTGTGGATGTGCATGTGTTTTTTTGGGATTCTCTGGTTCTGAGACACTTTGCCTTCCCTTCTCTAGGACCTATTTCTTCTAGAGTTGGGGGCTGCGAGGAGGGAGGGAGGAGGCTGAGGCCCTTTTACATGCTTGCTGGAATGTCAGTGTGAGTAGGTCTCAGGCCACACTCACCCTGGTTCTGACAAATCCTTTTTGATAGAGTGTTCTCTGCTGAAATGGTGTTATTCATAGTTTTCTTGGGTGAGACCATTCCCCCACCTCCACAGCTGCAGAAGTGTGCTCTGCCTCCCCTGGCCTTGTCAGTGGCATACCATAGCTGAGGCAGCCCTCAGAGCTTCTTCATGACGGTGATGGGACCACTGTGGTGTCTTCTGCCTCCTGAGAACTGAGCAGAACTGGATGGTGTGGGACTTTACCGTCTTTCTCGCAGGCACACCGCATTGGGTCTCACATGAATGTCTAGATTTTGCTGGGCATTAGACTTAATGTTCACATGAACCTTAGATTTCAGAGAACATATGTTTAGGCTCCCCATGGTACACCATCCTCCCAGGCCTCCAGACACTCTCCCAGGGACTGTCAGTCCCCTGCTCTGCAGTGGTGGCAGCACCTGGGGGCCTGGATCCTGCTGCCCAGTAAGGGTCCAGTTGGGAAAGAAAGTGCCCTACTCCACTTCTCACAGGTGCGCTCTCAGGGAGCAGCCTGCTGTCTTGACTTTGAGAGGAGGAAAGAAAGTGCCCTTTCCCTCAAACACGGACCTCTTCACAATGCTGAGCATTTCTGATTCCCTAGTACACTGGTGGATGAGGTCTGGTGAGAGTGTGGGACAGGTGAGTACAGGAGGAGTTTGTTGGTGGTAGGACAATTTGAGCTGCCTCTCACCAAGCCCTGTAAGGAGATGGTTGGCTTCAGCTGCTGGGGAATTTCTGTAGGATGTGGAGTCCTTACGTAACTTTAGTTTTCGACCAGAGCAGAGTTGTAGGATGCTGGAATATGACTTCTGTTATATACACATTACAACATGTGCCCACAGAAAGATGCATGATGACACATAAGTATATATCGAAGGCCCTGAAAAGACCAGGGTACCCCTCTCTTACATGATTTACAAAAAACCCACTAACCCATAACAAATTCAAAGAAATACAACACATTCTCATTTTCTCCATGACCATGATTTTTTTCCCAAATGTCAAATTTCTTTTTTTTTTTTTTTTTTTGAGACGGAGTCTCGCTCTGTCACCCAGGCTGGAGTGCAGTGGCCAGATCTCAGCTCACTGCAAGCTCCGCCTCCCGGGTTCACGCCATTCTCCTGCCTCAGCCTCCCGAGTAGCTGGGGCTACAGGCGCCTGCCACCTCGCCCGGCTAAGTTTTTGTATTTTTAGTAGAGACGGGGTTTCACTGTGTTAGCCAGGATGGTCTCGATCTCCTGACCTCGTGATCCGCCCGTCTCGGCCTCCCAAAGTGCTGGGATTACAGGCTTGAGCCACCTCGCCCGGCCATCAAATGTCAAATTTCAAAGTCCTAAAAAAATGTGGGTGCCCTGCATTCCTGGTGCCCCAAACACATGTTTATTTTGTTGAGGAGCCAGAAAAAACCTCACAGTCTTACTGAGAAGTTTAAATAAGTGAATAAAGCTGAAAATACTCTTTGTGATCCACAAATATATCCTAGTATCATGATGACATATGATTGTATATGAAATTTTCTACATAGGAATATATACACCAAAAACTTTATTTTAGTTTGGTATGTGAAAAATAAGTTGGGATGTGAAAAAATCAATTTTACTCCATCAGTCTGGAGTACAATTTTTCATTTAATTTGTGTATACTAATCCATTAAGATTACAGCCAGTCTTCAGCTAGACTGACTACGTTTTAAGCCTGAATCCATGATTTTACACAAGCAGCTTAATTTCTCTGAGCCTCACTTTCCTCATCCATAAAATGGAGATAATAACAGTATCTACCTCATGGAATTGTGAGAATCAAATGGGTTAATTCATATAAAAACACTTAACCTTAAACATATGCCTGGCACGTAGTAAGCTCTCAAATATCAGCATTACTGTATGCTTATATTAACTACACAGAAAAATGGAAAATTTCTTATTTTTTTCTGTATTTTGGATATTTTCAATAGAAATGAAGTAGATAAAACTAGTATTTACTTTGTGATCAAACTGATTTTTAAATATTTACCTTAAAGAATTACCTGGGGTGTGGGGTTAGAGTGGTACGAGAAATCTGTTGATATGACCAGAGGCAGACTTACTTCTTACTTGGGTTTAGGGTAGCAGCAGTACATTGCACCAACTTTTAACTCAAAGAGCAGGACAAGTTATCCAGGACAGACAGACAGAACAGTTGACAACACACACGACCACTCATATTTCCAAGACTGTGAGGCTGGAAGTTCATTATTAAGTAACAGACCTATGTAACTCTTTCTTCCTATCCTAATTTACACGTGATCTCTTTCTGCCTCTTGAATATTCAGCTCCCCTCTGAAATGCTGCATGTTTGCAGATTGATACTGAAGGGAAAAGTTTGACCTAACGATTCTTCTCAAATGGCTTTTTGTTATTTCCTTTATTGTCCCAGCCTCATTGCTTTCCTACCTTCTGATCATACACAGCCCTTTTTAGGTTTACTGGCTTACCCAACTCAAATAGAGTTAGTTGAATTTTCTGGAACCAGAGGCAGACCATTTATTACTTATTTCCTTCCATCTTTTCTATTTTTGTCTTTTCATTTCAAGCTTTCATTCTACATTCGTCACAGGTGCGAGGTCTTAGAAGCCTTGATCTTCCCAGAAAATATTTGCCAGGTTGTAATTTTTTATTTGTTATCAACAGCCAAATTTAACCAAGGCTAATCTTGTTCTAATTTGGTTTGTGGAAGACCTAGTCTTGGTATTTAGAGAAAGTAAATGTGAATTTCTGTTTTTTTTCTTCAGTATGTGTTATTCACTCATCCCTCATGTACTGCAATTAATTTTTTTTAAACAAAAATAATTTGGGGGCAGGAGAAACTCCATTTGGATCCGAACTTTAAACAGAAAGTATTTTGCCGAGAACACTGAAGTAGGTAGAGGGCTGGGGAGGAGGAAGGCAGCTAGGGATCTGTTTGATAGCCTATTCCTGTTATCATCCTCTGTCTCATTTTTCTCTACCTCGGGGTGCTCCTGAACCATTTCAGCTCATTGAAGATGCCCCCCTCACTGCAGCAACCCTGAGTGACAGTTGCTGTCTGTGCAGGGGTTCCTGTGGTGACCGCCTGCTATAGGCTGGATTTGTAGATTGCAGGGGCACAAATCCTAGTTTTATGTGTATATGTTTGGGCTTCCATATGTTGTACGTGTATATTTGCTAATTGCGGAGGCAGAATTTCTGATGCATGGCCGGGGTGGGAAGTGAGGGCGTGCTGCAGGTGGCTGTTGAGTATGTCAAGAGAGGGTTTCTCAAATCCTAATTGAGTTTCAGAATAGGTGTCTTAATCAGAGGCCAAATTCAGATTCAAGTCCCTCAAGCAATAGCTTACAAAAGCACACGTTTGTATTCTCTTCATCCCTGGTTGCATCACAAGGTATGTTCCTTGTCTGTGGCTGCTGGCTGCCATTATATTAGAGCACCAGTTTCTCCTGACTTTCTTTTTATCAGAACCTGCAGGTCCTACCTGGCCAAAAAGTGTCAGCTCAAGTTGTGCCTCCTCCAGGAAGCTCTCTGTGACCACTTCAGTCCAGCACAATGTCTCAATATTCTAAACCAGTCATCAGCACACTACAGTTTATGGGCCAAATAAAGAAAAGTTTTGTTAAAATACACCTACATCCATTTGTTATTGTGTATGGTTGCTTTTGAGACATAGTGGCAGAATCGAACAGTTGTGACAGAGACTATGTGACCCACAAGCCTAAAATATTTACTTTTTGGCTCTTTATAGAAAAAGTTTGCTGACCTCATTCTAAATTGAGGGGCTTAATGTATGTATCCTTCAGCATGACCTGCAGTGAATGCTCCTTATTTTTTGGTTTGCAAAACTTTCATTTTTAAATTCAGCATAGTCTTTCAGTATCTCCCAGACATTTTGGACATTGAACAAATAATCTCAAAATTACACACTTGAAGATTGGGGTGAGTCTGGGCAAGGGACAGAGAGAACCCATAAAGCAATTTTATTTTTAAGAGACAAAACATTTATTTGTTACTGTTGTCAGGTGTTTGCAGAAAATGCTCTCAGAGAATAGTTTTGTACCTAAACCAGTTCCTTCCAACCCAGAACTATTACTTGTTACTGACCTCAGTTTAAGAATATAAATCTTACCACATTTTTCTAAGGATGTGTGAAGATATAACTTGATTAAAAAATAATTTATATGGAAATTCAAATACACATGCACAACGTTAGAAGGTTAGCATTTGCTTTAAAAAATAATGCTTAATGGGATCCTTTCAGACGCTCACGTGCTCCACTTTGTCAGGGTCTGACTTGCAATAGGTATTGAGGTGAGAAAATACTTAACTCAGTGATTCAAAGCTAGATTCATTTCGTTTTCTTCTCTCCTGCCCAGTGGTCAGCCCATTCCCAGGGTGGAGTATACTGAAGAAGAAACTAAAACTTGGGGCGTTGTATTCCGGGAGCTCTCCAAACTCTATCCCACTCATGCTTGCCGAGAGTATTTGAAAAACTTCCCTCTGCTGACTAAATACTGTGGCTACAGAGAGGACAATGTGCCTCAACTCGAAGATGTCTCCATGTTTCTGAAAGGTAAGATTTCACACAGGCTGTCTCTTATTAGTCAATATCCTCAATTGCCTTCCAAGGACACAGGTTGTAGCAATGGCTCTTTTTCCAAAAGAGGAAAAATAGTGATTTAAAAAAATAGTTGGCTTTGAGCCAACAATTAGCTGTGACCACCTGTGGGAAGCAGAGCAGGGACTCAGCTGCTTTTGCAGCTCTGGGGCTTGCTGAAGCCTCTTTGTGGCTGGCTGCTGTAAATGTTAAGGCCCAAAGGATATTTACAAGTTCAGCTCTGAGCTTTTTCTGATCCAGGAGCTGATATGCTGGGCTATATGAATATGAAATGACCTCCAAAGGTGCCTTTTTTTTTGCATTGTTAAAAATTATGTGCTGAATGATGAAATCTTATGGATAATGTTGAATATTAGTGACTTTCCTCTGGGGGAAATCAGGCAACTGTCAGAGGCGTTTGGACCAGAGCAACTCCATCTTGAATACGGGCTGGGTAAAATAAGGCTGAGACCCCCTGGGCTGCATTCTCAGGAGGTTAAGGCATTCTAAGTCACAGGGTGAGACAGGAGGTCAGCACAAGATACAGGTCATAAAGACCTTGCTGATAAAACAGGTTGCAGTCAAGAAGCCAGCCAAAACCCACCTAAACCAAGATGACGATGAGAGAGACCTCTGGTCATTCTCACTACTCGTTAAACACTAATCACAAGGCATTGGCGTGCTAAAAGACACTCCCGCCAGTGCCATGACAGTATACAGATGCCATGGCAATGTTGAGAAATTATCCTAGATAGCCTAAAAAGGGGAGGAACCCTCCGTTCTGGGAATTGCCCACCTCTTTCCTGGAAAACTCATGAATAATCCACTCCTTGTTTAGCATATAATCAAGAAATAACCATAAAAATGGGCAACCAGTGATCCATTCCACAGCTCTGCCTATGGAGTAGTCATTCTTTTATTCCTTTACTTTCTTAATAAACTTGCTTTCACTTTACTCTATGGACTTACTTTCAATTCTTTGCGTGAGATCCAAGAATCTTCCCTTGGGGTCTGGAATGGGACCCCTTTCTGGTAACAAAACTAGTCAATCAATTAACCAATTGATCAATACTTTATGTTATAATTTGTGTGTCAGGGATTGTACTTGTTGCGGATGTTACACTAGTGAACCCAGTGAGTCATACAGTAACATCATTTCACACTCTCGTGGATCCCTTCACTGACAACACCTCCTTGGAACAACAGCTAGGAAATAGGCTTGTGAGGGGTTGGGGGAAGAGGCAAAGTTTCATGGTGGTCCCGCTTCCTCCTCTGTTTTTCCTTGTGCTTAAGTCCTTGGATTCTCTGCCCTTTTCTCTCTCTTCTTTCAAGTGCTATAGTTCCAAAAGCAAAAACTTCATTGCCTGCTCTCTTTCCTGGAACTTGCTTTCTTGCTTGTCTTCCCAGTTTCTATCAGTACTGTTTTCTCTGCACTCTTCAGGCTTGCCTATAAGGACTCCTCTGAATTCCTACCCACCTGATCCCCCAATCCCATACTCAGTCCTTCTTTGTGTTAGTGTCCAATTATAGCTGTAACACATTACCACAAACTTTGTGACTTAAAACAACACAAGTTATCTCACAGTTCGGGAGCTCAGAAGTCTAAAATCAGAGTGTTGACAGGGCTCATTCCTTCTGGTGGCTTCCGTGCCCTGGCCTTTCCCAGCTTCTAGAGTCCTCCTGCACTCCTTGGCTCGTGGATTCACCTTTCCATCACTCCAACCTCTTGCTTCCATTGTCACATCTCCTTCTCTGACTCTGACCCTCCTGCCTCCCTCTTATAAGGACTCTTATAATTATATGGGCCCCACTCAAATAATCTAGGACAGCCTCTCCATCTCAAGATCCTTAAGTTAATAACATCTGCAAAGTCTCTTTTGCCATGTAAGGTCACATACTCACAGATTCAGGGGATTAAGATGTAGGCATCCTTCGGGGGCCATTATTTAGCCTACCACAATCTCCCCCTGTTGCCACTTATGGCTTCATGACATGTGGTAAATCTGTCCTTTTCTTTCCATTCTACTGCTACCACCCAAATTGAGGTCCTCATCATTTTATAACCTTGATGCCTATATTTTCTTCCCTTAACTCTCCACTGCCCATAAACATTACTTTCCAAAACATTACTTTTTTTCTGACATCTCTGCTCAGAAACTATCATTGGCGGCCGGGCGCGGTGGCTCAAGCTTGTAATCCCAGCACTTTGGGAGGCCGAGATGGGCGGATCACGAGGTCAGGAGATCGAGACCATCCTGGCTAACACGGTGAAACCCCACCTCTACTAAAAAAATACAAAAATCTAGCCGGGTGAGGTGGCGGGTGCCTGTAGTTCCAGCTACTCGGGAGCCTGAGGCAGGAGAATGGCGGGAACCCGGGAGGTGGAGCTTGCAGTGAGCTGAGATGGCGCCACTGCACTCCAGCCTGGGCGACAGAGCGAGACTCTGTCTCAAAAAAAAAAAAAAAGAAAAAAGAAACTATCATTGGCTCCCTCTTGTTTTCACTGGGACTGGCAAACTTGTTTTGTAAAAGGCCAGATGGTAAATATTTTAGGCTTTTTGGGCCAAGAGGCAAAATCAAGGCTATTACATAGGTACTTTTATAGCCATTTAAATGTGTCTGTTAAAAAATATAAAAACTGGCTGGGTGTGGTGGCTCACGCCTGTAATCCCAGCACTTTGGGAGGCCAAGGCCGGTGGATCACTTGAGGTCAGGAGTTCGAGACCAGCCTGGCCAACATGGCGAAACCCTGTCTCTACTGAAAATACAAAAATTTTTGTATTTTCTGTAGTCGCAGCTACTGGGTCTGCAGGACGCCTGCAGTCCCAGCTAGTTGTGGGGCTGAGGCACGAGAATCGCTTGAACTTGGGAGGCAGAAGTTGTAGTGAGCCGAGATCGTGCCACTGCACTCCAGTCTGGGTGATAGAGTGAGACTCTGTCTCAAAACTAACAAACAAAACTATTCTCACTTACGGGGTGTGCAAAAACAGGCAGTGGGCTGGATTTGGCCTGCATGTGATAGTTTACTGATCTCTGTTTTACACGCTCAAGTTTGAACAGCTCAGCCTCGATCCGAGGCCCTGACCCAGGTTTCAAAGTTAGTTTCCTGCTGCAACTGCCCTGTACAAACCCTCTGCCCTTGCTGTGGGCTCTCTTTACCTTTGCTGAAACTCTGTTCCTTACTAGAAAATTTCATCTCTTCTCCACCTACTCAAATTCTACCTGTTCTTCAGGACTCACAGCAAATCCTGCCTCCTTCATGAATCTTGATCGTAGCAGCCACCATGATCTCTCCCACTCTGATTTCATTCTGTGTTATGTGTGAACATCATCTACTATGTTTGTTATTGAGGAAAAGAGATTGAGAACTACGGATCAGTATCACTTAATTAACACCTAATTACATCATGCCTTACGTTGTTGTTTAACTAGACTGTATTCTCCTGTCTCGTTCTTCTTTGTTTCCCACAGAGCTATATGCATGTTACCTCTTTACCAAGAGCTCCTTATATGGAGATGGTTTTTTACTGCATTGTTCCCCAAACCCCAATAGTTAGAATATCACCTCATAAATATTGCCATATTTGCTCCCCCAATTAATATTCTTATGAGAGGCAGTATGGTCTAGTGGCTTGGACCATAGACCCTGGATGTAGAATGTCAGGGCTTGAGTCCCCACTCTGCCCCTTCCTAGCTATGTGACCTTAGAAGAGTCACCTTAACCTTTCTGTGTCTCTGTTTCCTCCTCTGTCAATGGAGATAGTAATTTTATCTACCTCACAAGGTGGTTGGGAGGAGAAATTAATTGATATACCTTAAAGGCCTAATGTGCCTAACACACATTAAGCATAGCAGAGTCTTAGCTATTTCTTTTATTATTGTTTTCCACAACCCTTGGTGAACTGGATATATCGCCTAGTTTGTATCACACACTGGCATGTAGATAGTATGATTTAAGTATAGGTGTCCTTATATAATTTCATTGACTCACTTTTAAAATACCTAATTTATTTAAAACAGAAACTTTTAAAGCAATGGTATCTACAGATTCAAAGTTCCTGATGTCATGGTTTTATATATTTTTTAATTCACATAAAAATAAAATACATAACTATTAAAATAAAAAATGTTCCTCTGTGTACTGTTATATATGTCCCACATGTGGGATATACTGGCTTAATTGATGTAATATGGAAAAAGAAGAAAATACACTTATCTTTTTGATATTCACCAGGGAATAATCCAAAGTGAAGGCTTTTGGAATGAGCATAGTGCTGTTCAAATTATGGGTCTGAGGATGCCTGAGAACAGGTTATTTCCAGCAGGTACCAGAAATCCCAGGATGGGCCTGTTTTATAAGCTTAGTTGGTTCTTGCCTCTTAAGATCATTTTCAACCATTGTGTGGTACTCTCCTAATGAGTTCAAGTTTTCAGAATGGGAACCTTTACAATGCTAGAATCAGGGATAAGAATAGCCTTCCAGAACATTATGCTAAGTGAAACAAGCCAGACACAGAAAGAAAAATACTGCATTATCTCATATGTGGAATTTGGAAAAGTTAAATACACAGAAGCAAAGAATAGAACAGTGGTTACAAGGGGCAGGAGATGGGGTAAGTGGGGGAGATATTGGTCAAAGAGTACAAAGTTGCAGTTAGATAGGATGAATAAGTCTAGAGATCTTTTTTTTATAATTATTATTTTTTAGACAGAGTCTTGTTCTGCTGCCCAGGCTGGGGTGCAGTGGCGCAAGCTCCGCTAATTGCAACCTCCACCTCCTATGCTCAAGCAATTCTTGTGCCTTGCCTGTGTTCCCCGAGTAGCTGGGACTACAGGTGCGTGCTGCCTATGCCAGCTAATTTTTTTATTTTTAGTAGAGACGAAGTTTTGCCATGTTGCCCAGGTTAGTCTCGAACTCCTGGCATCAAACCATACCATCCACCCACCTTGGCTTCCTAAAGTGCTGGGATTACAAGTGTGAGCCACAGTGCCCAGTAATCCAGAGATTTAATGAATAGCATGAGGACTATAGTTAATAATACCATATTACATAAGGGAAATTTGTTACTAAATTTTATGTGCTCTTACCACACACACACACACAGACACATACACACACACACATGTGCACATATAACTATATGAGAAGAAAGATATATTAATGAACTTGAATGTGGTAATCATTTCGTTATTGCAGTAAGTCCTCACTTGACGTCATTGATAGGTTCTTGAAAACTGTGGCTTAAAGTGAAACGATGTATAACAAAACCAATTTTTCCCCTCATCAACATTATGACAGTACAATGTTGAAGGAAATGATATTATTCTGGACACTGCTTTATGTCATTTCACTTAAAGACGCAATTTCCAAGAACCGTTTGACTGACATTGAGGACTTACTGTACGCATGTATCAAAACATAAAGTTATACATCTTAAATATATACAATTTATATTAAAAATAGAACTGCTCTTGTGAGAAGAGAACAGAGCATAAAGCAGCTATTTAAAAATAGTCGTGTACCACATATAGACTTTTCAGTCAACAATAGACCATATGCATAGTGGTGATCTTATCAGATTATAATACTGTATTTTCACCATACCTTTTCTATGTTTAGATATGTTTAGAGATACAAATACTTACTAATGTGTTACAATTGCCTACAGTATTCAGTATAGTAATGTGTTGAAACGATTTGTAGCCTAGAAGTAGGCTGTACCATCTAAGTTTCTGTAAGTACACTCTATGAGATTTACACAACAACAAAATCACCTAATAATGCATTTCCTAGAATGTATCACCATCATTAAGCAATGCATGACTTTATACAACAATTTAATAAAATGTGTATTTGAAAAAAAAAAAAAAAAAGAATAGCCCTTCTATTGTAAGTTTTCTGGGCCTTCCTGAGAAGAAAACCTTATGTAACCCTTAGACTGAGAACACTCACAACTAATTGAATTAGTGGTATAGGACAGTTTTATAGACTTTATTGTATTCTTACTTTGTTTCCTCTTACCATAAACCAATAGAGCATGTAGGGCTTTGGTGTACCTCTTTAAATCATGATAATTAATATAACATCAAAGAAAACAATATAGAATGAAGGAGTTAGCGGGTACGGGCAATAGAAAGCCTCAGTGTGAACTGATTTGAAGATGCTAGTGAAGTGGGTGCTTGGCTGTGTGTCACTGAACACATGCACACAGAAGAGATCCCTAGGAAGGTCTCTTAGAAAGATACCAGGTGATGTGGAACCACACAACACCTGATTTCTGAGATTTCTTATCCTAATTGGGCTTCTGAATTTAAATCTCTAAATACTTTTTTCACCCTTCTTTTCATTTTTTTGAATGTCTTGTTCTCCTGGAAACCATCATTTGAGAGTGATTTTAGTCATCAGAAGCACCAAACATGATAGCTGTTAACAGTATATGTCATTCAGTTGTCAAGAGGTTTATGACCTTGATTACTTTGTTTCTGGATCTTCCTTATAAATCATAGAAGCTTCTGCTTGGGCCTTCAAGTCTTTCTGGGTTAATATTTAGTTGGCTCTTTCTGTTGCCTTTTTAGAAAGGTCTGGCTTCACCGTGAGGCCGGTGGCTGGATACCTGAGCCCACGAGACTTTCTGGCAGGACTGGCCTACAGAGTGTTCCACTGTACCCAGTACATCCGGCATGGCTCAGATCCCCTCTACACCCCGGAACCGTGAGTACCTACATTAAAGCCCAGGCCGGACAGAGACCACCACACCACAAAGTGGTCAATGATCCCTTTACTTGAAAATGACTTAGGCCCTGTTTTACTTCCAAACTAATTTCTTTGAGTCAGTGAGAGTCACATCACTCACCTAAAGAAAAAAGGGCTCACTGAAGGTTCAGACTCCTCAGCTGGGTCCGTGAGGGTTCCTGATATTCCAGCTCTGGCTCATTGCTCTAGCTTTACCCCAACACTGAGCCATCTGCTTGGCCAGATCTCCATTTCTGATGGGGAAGAGAAGGCACAGAAGTGTAAAGTAGACACTAACACATGGTCAGAACATGTGAGGCTCTCTCATTAGGAGGCCTTTTTCGTGTGAAGGAGGTTCATGTCCACACACCATAGCAACTCATTACTAATCCCCTCTCATCTCTTTCATCACCTCCAAACTCAGAACTCTGTGCTTTGCTCTGCCTGCCATTTTAGTTTCTTGACCACTTCTCTAGTCCTGCCCGTCACCTCCAGATATAGATGAGGTTTGTGATTCTGCTCTGGTTCTGTCAGTTTTCCTTTGGGGCTTTTATCCATTCTCTCCTGGACAATGGGTAAGCTGGGAGTGGGGAGAGAAGCTAAGAGGTGATGCTATACTGCTCTGACATGGGTAGGAAGCAGGAGTAAGCTGGGAACACCCACATGTTAATCATTTGGCCTAATCACACATGGGATTGCACAGTCTCCAAGTGTGAAATGCCCTGTATCATATTTCTTTGAGTGCTTTAAAATATGTAACAAGTATTTACTGGGAGACAACTACATGCTTGGATTGTCTGGGAATGAGACAGCATTCCTGCCCTTCCAGGTGAATGGTGAAGACAATGGTTAGCATACAGACAGACAGATAGGTAATATGGTGTCAGGTGTAAGTGCTTCCATAAAGAGCTAATAAGTGCTGTGAAGACAAAGAGAGCATGGGGAGGAGACAGAGCGTCCTGGGTGCTGTTTTTTTGGATTGGGTCAGTACAGCTTCTTGGTAAACAACATCTGAGCAAAGACTTGAATGTGTATATGATGGGGTGGAGAATTTCAGGCCGAGAGAACAGCAAAAGCAGAGACCCTGAGGCTGGGAGCTCTGGGGTTCTTTTGCCTTCCTGGGCTCCATTAAAATGAGTGCCTTGCTTTAATCTTACCCCACTGTTCTTCAGGCCACTCAGGGTATCGCTTTGCTTATGATGCTGCTTTACTTGAATGCGCTTGTGGTTAATGGGTTGCCATGGTCTTCACTGGGGAGCAGAGAAGCTTTTGAGGTTCAAGCAGTTAAGTAGCTGATGGTAGTGGAAGTGAGCAAGGATAAGTCAAGTCTCTGAAGCACCCCTCCTCTTCCTAGGCTGGCATAAGGCTCACTGTCCAGGTAGGTCCCTGTCGGGTCACTACATTTTTTTTTTAAGCTTTTTTCAGCTTCCCTGAAAGTGTTTTCAGGGTAAACAAAGGTTACTTATAGGACCCCAGACATTTGGAAAAGAAATGCTTCTTTCAGTGGAGTGAGTGCTCAAAGAAGCATTGTCAGAGTTAGAAAGACAATCTCTAAATCTAGCCCAGAGGGTTTACAAATGGCCCTGTTTACAAATAGAAGGCACTTTGTTAGTTCCCATTGAATAACTGGCCCTCCTGAGACCTGTGATAGCGTGCCAATAGGTATGCAGAGAGAGAGAGAGGCAAAGAAATGAGATGTTAGCCACAGAGGATACTGTGTTGCATTTTTACCAAAGTACTTTCGGCCAATTCATTCAGCAAACATTTATGTGCAATGCTAGCAGGGCGGTGCAGTGGATTCAGAGATAAATAAAATATAGTAGCTTTTTTTTTTTTTTTTTTTTTTTAAGCAGCTCACATTCTGGCAGCAGAGATAGAAACATAAATAACTAGGAAATAGTGTGGTTAGGGTTATAATTAGTGTGTGTACAAAGTGCTGGAGAGCACAGAGGAAGGCACAGTACTGAAAGGCTTTTCAGAGAACGTATAACCTGTGTGGGGGTCTGGAAGGATGAGCAGAAATTTCATTTTTGTACAAGGCTGGGTGGGGAGTGAAGGGGAAGCTTTCCAAGTCAGGAGAAACAGCAAGTGCAAAGTTGTGGAGACACGCAAGAGGCATACACGTGCAAGGCTTGTTAGACCAGAATAGCCAGGGTACAGTTTATGTAGTAGGGATGAAATGTATCTTCAGGCCATGTTATAAATGACCATTTGTCAAACTAGGACATTTGGACTTTATTCTGTAGGCAATAAGGAGCTATCCAAGGTTCTTAGGCATAGTCAGGTATGTGTATTGGAGAAAAATGACTGGGGTAAGGACTGGGGAATTGTTGAGAATGAACCACATGGAAAACCGGCTGGGGAGCTCACATTCTATGAAGGAATATAGTTCATAAGGTGTGGAGCTAGGTGAGGTCAGAGGTATAGTACAAGAGAGCACCTATTTGATGCCCTCTTAACACCATAGAGATGGAAGTAACAATATCCAGTGACTACAATAGGATTGAGATGAGGGGAGGGCCCCTAAGGTAATGCTAAGGTTTTTGTTTGGGATGCTGAGTGGAAAGTCATTTCTAATAATGACTGAGAATATTGGAGGAGGATCAAGCTTGGAGGGAAGAGAAAAGGAAAGAGGGAGGGAAGAGGAGGATGGGTTTAGGGTATGGTGTCTGTGAAGTGCCTATGGCTGGAACCTCCAGATGGAGAAGTTTCTCGTAGTTACAAATAAAGATGATAAGCTCAGAAGTGAATACAAAGCACCCACAATAGATTTGAGTAATTATTTTTCTCCCAAGTCTCCTATGACTACACAGATAAGAGGAGACTAAGTCAGAGGATGGAAACTTGGGATTCCCTAACTTGGGGTTGTTTTTACAAGCCCTTTATTTTTTGTGGGTTTCATATCATTTGTATTTTTTTTTTTTTTTTTGACAGAATCTCACTCTGTCACGTGCAGTGGTGCAATCTTGGCTTACTGCAACCTCTGCCTCCCGGGTTCAAGCAATTTTCCTACCTTAGCCTCCTTAGTAGCTGGGGTTACAGGCATGCACCACCATACTCAGCTAATTTTTTTGTATTTTTAGTAGAGATGGGGTTTTGCTATGTTGGCCAGGCTGGTCTTGAACTCCTGACCTCGGGTGATCCACCTGCCTCGACCTCCCAAAGTGCTGGGATTACAGGCCATTCATACTTTATGAATAGGTAATACATATGAATAGGTAATACATATGCATAATTCAGAATTTAAAGTGCACTAAAAGTTCACTACTGTGAACAGTGAGTTTCTTTCCATCCTCTGTCCCCTTGATACCCAGTGCATCCTCTCCAGAGGCAACCACTGCTACTAGTTTCCATTTCATCCTTCCAGAAATATACTATGCAGACAAAATTCTCTGTAAAGATCTTTTTAATCCTTGTCCCTTCTCAGCCACATAGTTTGAATCTATGGGTACTATACTGGGAGGGATGTTTCCTGCCCAAGCACTTTCACAGGCATTGTCTTCGTAATGAAATCCCATTTCCTCAATTGAAAACCAACTGGAGGGCAGATTCTCCAATTTATGAAGTTCAGCTTGGCTACTGTGTTTGGTGCTTGTACTGTGCTTCCAAATAGCTGCTTTCAATTGCTGAACTGTTGTAGTGGAGGCTGCACTAATGAGACAAAGGTGAGCCCTGAAGACCCAGGTAGAAAGGAGCATGAAGCAACAAAAAAGACATTATCTGAAAAGAGAATTTTATTTTCGCTTTCAGTCTGGTAGAATGGATTTTGCCATCACAGCTTTCAACACACACTGGATTTTAAGCATATCTTCGACTTCTTTTTACATTTTACAATTTTAAAGGCTCTGACTTCTCTAAACCTGGTACACTGGAAACCAAACCTCGCCATTACACAATATATTCCTGTAACAAATCTTCACATGGACCCCCTGAATCTGTCAAAAGAAAAAAACAGTGATGGCAGATTAGACTGGTTTCCTGGGCGAAAGTTTTCCGGCCTGGAGGACAATAGAGAACCCCTGGTGAATTAGTGACTTCTGGTTTTCCTGGCGGGAGGAGTTGCTTTTCTATGCATTAATGCCTGGATTGAAAGGTCACTGATCTGCTAGAAGAGGAAATGGACTCTTTGCCTTTTCTCCCTTTGAGCAGTGCCTGAGGCAATGAATCTGCATTTCAGTATTGCCTGGCTGCATGCTTTGATCAGCTGTGATTGCAATGTTCTCACTAATCGGGTAAGGAAGTTTGCAAATAATTTCCTTTAAAAAAAATCAACTGGGCCAAATTCAGTTATTCCAATTGTACCTTCCCTCTCACTCACTGGAATGAGAGGGAAAGATGCAGAGTTCCAAGTTATGTGGCTATGTGAGCATCGCCTGGCATGTGTACAGTGGCAGAACAAAATCTTGAGAAGTTCTCAATCTCCCTGATCTCATTTTTGTCTCTCTGGGAAGTCCATTGTGCGCTCTCTCATGCTATGCCCTCCTGCCACCTCATCTTCTTTTAGAACAGGGTTACTTGCAGATCCGAGGCAGAGAGGGTGCAGTGTATCAGGAAAGCAGTCCTCCTTTAACCCTGGGTCCTGTGGATCGGAATGGAGAGTCAGGCAGAGAGAGGAAAGAGAGAGAGAGAGAGAGAGAGAGAGAGAGATTGAGAGAGAGAGAGAGATGGCACAAACCCTGGCAACTAGCAGAGTGTGAGCCCCTAAGGTTCACGGTCAGGTGCCTCAGTGGTCTGTTTAAAAGGCAAAGTGGGGGCACAGTCTGCTAGGTAGGAACGATAACTCACAGTTCTTTTCACTGGCTGCCAGCTTGGTATATATGGGTGCGGTGTTCTATTTCTAATGCCAAGGCAGCATCCTTTGCTGTGTTGTTCCTATTCCACACATCTCTTCTTTTCTGCCGGTGTCACTTTTCAAATCAAAGAGCAAACTTTCAGCATTGAGGAATAATTCAGGGCACCAGTGACTAATACTGCAACTT